GCTCATTCTTTTGTATCAACAAGAATTCTCTCATATGCCGCCCTTTTACTTGACCCCAATTTATATTTATGCTCTTCAAATTTATATAAGTAGACACTTAAATTGATATAAAGTTGAACAAATAGACACATGCTTCCTTCGTGATATCCTATGTGTCAATTTACGTCTTACATGGTGTCCTACGTGTATTATGTCATGTACGACTCATGTGTCTACTTGCTCAACTTCCTACAAATTTAAGTGTTTATTTGTGTACACCCAAAGTTTAAGAGCATAAATATAAAATGAGGTCAAATTAAATGACACATTTATGTATTACGCCTATTTACTAACATTGCTATATCTAGTTATTCATTATATACCTAATATATTATCAATAATCTTAATTATCTTCTAGAATTTGATTATTTTGTAGTCTTTACTCTCTTTATGAGACGCTAACGTGACAAAAACATGACCACTTTTTTTAGGCGTATGAGAATAAAAATAATTTTTAAAAATAACATTCAAATATATTATTTTCAACTATTAAATTGTCACATAGTCGTGTACAATGGTTTTATCTATTCCAATTATGTAAATTTTACCTCAATTTTACATTTTAATTTTTTTTCTCTTTAAATGCAATGACTACTTGCTTGTTCTAAACTATTTATTTCAATATTGTATATTTTTGTAAGGCCAATTTGTAAGAAAAAAACTAAACGTGACTCGAAATCTATCATTTTAGCTAAAGAAAATTAGTTTTATTTAAAATAATGAAGTATCAATCGTGTATTTTTTTTTTCTAGGATGCAATAACTATTTATTTCAATTATGAATTTTTTTTTTGGCCTTTTTAAGCCAAAAAAAATTTTAGAGAAATTTTCTTCACTTGGAAAATAATGCAAAAAGAACTTGGAGAATTTTTTCTGAATCAAATGAAAATGACTTTGCCTTCTGAGTAAACTGTCGATTAAAACATTACAAAATTGGACCATACAAAATATTATTTTGATAGGCCAAATGATATTTCTTCTGTCCAACAATATTTGTCCACTATTTACTTTACACACTTCTTAAGAAACTATAAATAGAAGAATAGTTTTACTATATCACCCTTTGAATATACTCCCTCCGTCTACTATTAATTGTCATACTTTCCATTTTTAGAGTCAAACTTTAAAAACTTTGACTAACATTTTAGGATATATTTAATCTTCATATTGATATGTAAAAAATTGCAATGTATAGTATTTTTCGTATAATTTTTGAATATCTAAATTTTTTGTTTAAAAAATCGAATTAATGTAATCTAATTTAACTTTGAAAATAAGTCAAATTGACTTTCGAAAAGCGCAACATGACAAATAAAAGTGGACGGAGGGAGTAATAAATACAATGTCTTGAAAAATGTAATAGAATTAATGATAAGGATAAATTAGAAACTAAGTGTAAAATTATCAATTGATTTTATAAAGTGGACAAATATTGTTGGACATCCCAAAATAGTATAGTTGATAACTATTGTTAGACAGATGAAATATTTTGTCTATTCTTTTTTGGTGAGTAAGAATTAATCAATTATTGTAAGAGAAGTTTTATTATGTTGTTGGACTTTTTAAAAAAAATATCGTCTAGTATGTAATAAATTCTTCAAAAGTTATGCATTTTCCCCCTTTTTTTATCAAATATAAATACGAAAATAGTTTAAGATATCCAAGCAATGATATTTTCTTATATTATCAGATTAAGATAACCTACCATAATACGCATATTGCTTTAGATACATAGTTATCCTAATTTGGTAACCTAAGAGGCAGTAAACATCCTCTTATAATCGACTAGAATGTTAGCTATTTTATAAAGTATAGAGTATAAATATTTCATATATTTGGGAGATAATTACATTTCATTCCGAAAGTTTCTTCAATTACAAAAATTATGGATGTTTTATTGCTCTCAGATACATTCCTTTGTTGTCTGATACGTGCAAATGATACATTACTTAATGGGAGGAATGTAATCGAGAGGGGGGATAGAAATGTGTATCCGAGAGGAGATGGATGTATCCGAAAGGAGATAGGGATGTACCCGAGAAGAAATTTTGTAATTTTTTTAAATGATAGGAAATTTTAGAAATTATGATATTTTAAGTTGTGCATTTATGTAATTTTTCCTTTTATAAAAAACACAAGTTCTCATAAACTCAATAGCTAACATTTAAATCATATATACATATTCAAATCTTATATTAACTTGATGTCATTGTAATAATCACAGACTTTAAAATCCTACATCTGCTTCCTGAATTAATTAACTAATTGTTAATAAGGGTTTAATTTATTCTTAGACTTAATTAATATATAGAACTTGTCTAATTCTGCTAAACATGTATTCTACAAAAAATACGGCAGCATTCACTGTAATTCTATTATATTTTATTATTAAAATAAAAATTAAGTTGCTTCAAAACAAATCTTTCGATGTTTAATTAGTGCTTAATTAAATAAGATAATAATAATATTTTAAATACTTCTTACTTACTTGTACTATGCTAATTAATATTTTCACCTAACACATAAAATAAGTACCACAGGCCAAAAAAGTCAGAGTTTGGGCATCAATACTGACTCTTTATATTATTATTGGTATACTATATATTACATATTATATACAATGAGATCTTGCTCTAAAATAACACTTACTAATCACTTTTCGATTTTATCTTTAAAAATAGTTATTATCGTGGAGTTTCAAATTTCACCGGTAAAACATTAAAATTATCCTGGAATTTTACTTATGGTATTTGAAACTCCATACCAATAACAACTATTATTAAAATGTGATGATAAATAACGTGATTATTTTGTTAATTTTGTCCACCTAATTCACTTTACACGCTACATTCTTAAAACTAAATCAAAGCTAATGTCTTTTAAATAATTGTTATCAAGGTCAAGTAATGGATTAATAAGTTTTTATGTAATAAAAAATTAATTTCATGACCGAGGTATTATAGTGGGTAAAGTTTAGTGATTTAACATTATATTATAATAAATAAAGTTCAATTACTATAATAACATGGTAAAAATATAGTTTTATGAATTTATTCATGTGGCCATACGTGAAATTAAATGATAGTAGGATAAAATTATCAATTAAAGGTGATAAATTTAATATCTTTTAATGAGAAAAATAGGGACATTTGATCTCCTAAAAATGAGACCTTGTCCGCTAAAAATATTGTGACAACATTATTTTCTTTTTTTGATTCTTTTTATTAAATTTTTATCAATTTATTTTTTATTAATAAGAAAAAAAAATTGACGTGACAATAGAAAAAAAAGTTTATTGGACCATTCAATATTGGCGTGCATTATTTGTTGCAAAGAGCCAAATTTGAAAATTTCATCCATTTTGATAGTGATTTTGTGTTTTTCCCATTATCCTAATATATGTAGAAATGAATTTAATTAATATAGACTGATATTATAACATAAATATATATTATTAGGTTATCTAAAAGCAAATTACAAGAAACTTTTATGTATATATTGATACTACAATAATAACTATGTCTCAATTATATATATATATATATATATATATATGATTTTTACTGATTATATTTTTTTTATTTAAACTCAATTTGTATCATCACTCATGACCTCATTTTAAGGGAATGTAAAACTTCCGAGACAACTTCCTTCCACTTAATTTTTGGTTTAACCTCGTTCCATTTTAACACCTTCACTCGCCATAGCTTCACATCTGCGAGTTTAGCCAATAATTTTTTTAAAAAAATCATTGTAATAGATATGTTATATAGCAAAGAAACTTTACTATACGTATAAATATTATTTAACCTATTAATGTATCTAAAATCTCAGCTAAATAAGTTGATAATTTTAACAAAGTAAGGATTATCTTGGGCCACATAATTTTTTTATTTTATTTTATTTTTTAAAAAAAACAATAAAAAGTCATACGTTCATATAAATTTTGAACCAAACATTTCTTTGGAAAAAATTGAATATAGCCAAATTGGGAAATTGACACATTAAAGTGTTCATCAAGCAAAGTCTCTTAGGAAATTTTGAGGGAATTTTTGCCAATTAAAAGACCAATGAGACAAATTATATACAATTTAAATATTTAATGCATTAACTTCATTTTTTGGTCACTTAAATATTAGAAAAAAAAATTAATTTTAGTAATGATTTCTATTTTATGAGTATTAATTAAAAGAGACATAAACCTCACCTCTCAATTCAATTCATTTTCCAACCCTTTCAACACATTCTTGATAGGACAGAAGCCTCACATCATAAATAAGATATCGAAAGTCTGGATCCCTTTAATTATTTATTTTTTAAAAAAGGTCAAATATTTTATCAAACATTTCACAAAAATCAAAATTAGAATTATATGTATAACTAAATATAACTAAAAGAAAATCAATTTTGCAATCATTTTTAACAACTTTCTCTAATTTTACTTTACTGATTTTGCCTAATATGTTGAGGTTATATCGCGAACAACCTTTTTATCCCATAAAATGTAGGAACAAGATTTCAAGTCAATGTCGACAAAGTCAAAAAAATTGTTAAAGTTGTTCAAGATTTAATATATACGTATGAAATTTTTTACCTACATACTTCATATATTTTCTATACAACATAATATAAATTTTCAACGGATAATGTTCAATTGCCCTCTTATACGTGGCTACACCATTGATCTGAACCTTACATATATATTATATTCTCCCGAGACTTCACTCGTGAGATTACACGACTGATTTTACCCCGTCTTTAATTTGTCGGTACCTCAAAGCAAAGGAAAAAAAAGAACTTTCACTTCCAATATTTTATTTTGTTTTTCTCTTTTCTCCCAATTTATGATCATAAAGACAAAATAAAAAAACAATAAAATCAATCATTATTTTCATAAAGTTAAAATAAAATAAAAGGGAATATTATTATTAATATGAATTTTTTACACAACTATTTCATGCACAATATATAGAGAGAGAAAACAGAGCACATATATAGAGAGAGAAGCAGAGAACTATTGTGTATGTGTGTGAAAATCTACCGGAAAAACACCATTAAACCCACTTCAGATCTACCGTATTCTCTTCTCTCAACCCATTAAATAATCAAATTCATCACTTTTCAATCTCAAAATCCTGAAATTTTAGAAAAAAAATAATAAAAATTGCTCTGTTTTAACTCATTTTTATCAACATTCAATAGTCCGGAGTATTTTTCTATCGATTTTCGCTCAGTTTCTGTGTTTTACAGCGAGAAATTCGAACTGGGTATTGTTTATTTTGTTGAAATTGGTGGGGGATTTTGAGTTTTCATGGTGGTTTTAAGGTAGTGTGCGCCGGAGCTCCGATAAGCGGAAGGGGAGAGCTCCGGCGAGAATTTTGAATTGGATTTTTTTTCTGTAATAAATGAGTTGAGTTGAGGGTAAAAGTGTAAAAAAAAATGTTTAAGTCGGCTAGATGGAGGAGCGAGAAGAACAAGATCAAAGTTGTATTCAAATTGCAGTTTCATGCAACTCAGGTAAAAACTAGTAGTGTATATATATAGATTGAATTTTAACTGTTTGTGTTGGTTTTTGGTAGTTTTAGTTTTTTTTTTTTTTTTGAAAGAGTAATTAGTGTTGAAAAATGTTGGAAATAGCAATCGGATGATTTGATTGATTAGGAAGAAGAAAGGTTAAAGCAAAAACTTGAAGCATATTAAATTTGATGATACAATTCATTTTTTCCAATTGATATAGTTTGTGTTAGGTCCAGACTCCACTTGTGGGATTACACGGGATATGTTGTTGTCTTTGTTATATACTAGGATGAGTAGGTTGAGGTATCAGGTTTAATTTCTAGCGGAGTCAGAATTACTAGGTGATTTCTTTCCATTTTGTCTGCGGGAGTTATCTGGGACGTGTACAGGTGGGAGGTAGGAAGTACTTCGTGGAATTGGTTGAGGTGCGCGTTGGTTGATGCTATGGTTATAGAAAAAATGAAATTCTAGGATAGGAATTGCTTTTGTATTAGGATTCAGGTGTTACATTGTGAATATCTTTGAATGTAGGCATGCGCTCTATTGACCAATAATTTGGCATTGGAAGATAAATTATTCAGTTTTGGAATGATATGGTGTGTTGTAGTACTGTTCTATTACTATCGGTTGTTTGTTGTATTACTTCTTTTTTCTGGACTGCTTTGGACTGTTTTTTTCTTGAGCTGAGGTTTAGCGGAAACAGCCTCTTTACCTCTGCGTACACTCTATCCTCCCCCAACCTCAATTCGTGGGACTACACTGGATATGTCGTTGTTTTTGTAGAATGAGATGGTGTCAATCAAGTAGAATGGATATTGAGGATTCACATAAACCATCCAATAATTTGGATTTGATACGTAATTGGTGATTGATTGATTGATCCCTCTGCATTTTCATGGGAAAAAAGCTGTTTTCTGCTTGCTTTCGATTTGTTTCACTTCAAATCAGGCACTTTTTTTCGAGGCAATGGATAAAAAGTTTAATGTATCGCAGAAGAGCATTGTCTGCTAACTCATGAGTCAGTAGTCACTCTTTTGAGACAGTGATACTATCACGCCTCAATCCATCTTCTGTTTCTTGTTCGTTTTTCTATAGGGTAGTTGAAATACTGACATTCTTTCAAAACATAACGGATTAATTTGTATATGTGCCATAGGTAGCGGGGGATGCATTGATGATATCTGTAGTCCCTGCTGATGTGGGAAAGCCAACGTTAAAATTAGAGAAGGCACCGGTTCGTGATGGGAGCTGTTACTGGGAGAAAGCAGTTCTTGAAACTGTGAAGTTCATTCAAGAACCGAAGTCGGGGAAGATTCATGAAAAAATCTATTACTTCATCCTGGGAACTGTAAGCTGCATTTTCGAGTCTAAGATTTTTATGCTGCATTGATCCCTTAGCAAGTGATTTACGTAATTTGTTTGGATGTATACTTTGTAGGGGTCTTTAAAATCCGGAGTTGCTGGAGAAGCTTTGATTGATTTCTCGAATTATGCTGAGGCGTCTAAGATCTCTTCTATTTCTCTTCCACTCAAAAATTCAAAATCTGGAGCTTTATTGCATGTAAGTCTCTCATCCATTCGTGAACGAATATGCATCGCATTGCTATTTTGCGAGCTTTTTGGACCTGATTGGATTTAAATGATGTTGTTCGTTGTCCATAGGTTTCGATACAGAGGATTCAAGATTCTTCTGATCAAAGGTGCTGTCCAGATTCCCGATGACTTCCATGATTTTCTTTTAAGTTTTTGGTTCTTGCATAGTGTCGAATTTAAACTAGTCTTTTTAACATCTTTTTTGGTGCTTCTACAGTGTTGAAGAAATCGAAGATGCAAGACCAAATTCCGATAATATGATCTCGAGGACACAACTAAGCAATGATGATGTAGAAGCTAGCCTTAAGGGAAATTATACAGAGGTAAGACATAAAAACTTATGTCTGATTGCAAGAGAACAAAGATCCGAGGATTGATCCTTCGACCTGAATTTGTTTCGACTGATAAGATTGTCTCTTTTCTTGTTTGTATTTGGTTTTAATAGGATGGTCTGATCAATAAACCTATTTTGCACAATGGTGAACTGAATGGCATCCGCCGGGCATCAGGTGAATCTGATATTACCATGTCCAGTTCTGGTAGCAGCTCAGGGCTTGATACACCTCAGCGAATCAAAATGAGAAACAACATTGGCAATCAGGATCACATAAACTTCCCTTTGTCTCCAAATCATGCGTTAATTCTGCGGAAGCCCAGTATTGACGTCTCTACAACAGTTTCTGAAGAAATTCAGCAGTCGGAATGGTTGGGGGGTTCCGTTCTTGAAGCAAGTACAGATGGCTCTTCAAGCACTCCAAGAGAAACTCTTCTTAGATTAGCATCACAGGAGGTCTCAGATATTGTTGTTGTGAAGCTAAAATCTGAGCTCGCAGTGTTTGCTAGGCAGGTAGAAGTGTCAGACTTGGAACTTCAAACCTTGCGTAAACAAATCGTCAAGGAGAGCAAAAGAGGTCAGGATCTCTCGAAAGAGGTTGCTAGCCTGAAAAATGAACGAGACGCTCTCAAGGAAGAATGTGATAAACTAAAAGCTTCCCAAAGACGTTTAAATGAGGCGAAATCCAAAGACAAGTTGCTCTATGAACAAGGGGATCTTCAAACTCTTGTTAGTGAACTTAGGCAAGAGTTGGCTTATCAAAAGGAACTTAATGCAAATCTGGAAATACAACTTCAGAAGACACAAGAATCGAATTCCGAGTTAATTCTTGCTGTGCGTGACCTAGACGAAATGTTAGAACAGAAGAACAAACAAAATGTTAGCCTTTGCAACAAATCAACCACATCATGTGATGCTGAAAATTTGCCAGATGTTGTCTCCAAGCATGAAATGACTGATGAAGATGACGAAGAGCAAAAAGCACTAGAGCAGCTTGTGCGAGAGCATAGTGATGTCAAGGACTCATATATGCTGGAGCAAAAGATCACAGACCTGCGCGGTGAAATCGAGATATACAGGAGAGAAAGAGATGACTTAGAGATGCAGATGGAGCAACTTGTCCTCGACAATGAGATACTGAAGCAAGAAAACCATGATATGTTATACAAACTTGAGCAAAGTGAGTTTCAGGAACAACTGAAGATGCAATATGAATGTGCAACTTCTTATTCAACTGTAAGGGAACTTGAAGGACGGATTACGGGTTTGGAGAATGAACTGACGGAGCAAGCAAAAGAACTCTCCGATTCATTGGTCACCATAAGTGAACTCAAAGCTCAAGTCAGTAGCCTGGATGAAGAGCTGGAAAATCAAGCTCAGGGATTTGAAGCTGATCTTGAAACTCTTTCTTGTGATAAAGTCAAACAAGAGCATAGAGCAATACGAGCTGAAGAAGAACTGAGGAAGACAAGACGGCACAATGCTAGTACAGCAGAGCGGCTTCAGGACGAACTTAAAAGTCTCTCCATGCAAATGATGAGCTCATTAAAAGCGAACGAAAAGAAAGCATTACATGAAGCTAATGAGCTCCACCTGCAGAAAATGCATTTTGAAGAGACGCTTCAAAAATCAACCAAGGAACTCCGATCAATCAGAGTGCATTATGAAGCAAAAATGCTTGAGCTTTCTAGCCAGGTAACTAATATGTACGGTCAAATGGAAAAATTGCAGTTGGAAATTGAAGCAAAATCCGCACAACTAGAAAAACAAGAAGAGGTGGCTAAAGGAACTGAACACCACTTGTCGCAGAAAATCATCTCTCTTAAAGCTGAGATTGAAAATCTATTAGCAGACAAGAATATCCTTTATCAACATGCCGAACAGAAGAATATGCTAATCGAGGAGTTGGAAAATACTAGGAAATCAATTGAGAACATGCGATTGCTTGTCGAGCAAGGTCACAGTGAAAGAAGAGAACTGGAAACTAGGCTAGATTTAGTGGAAAAAGAAGCTATGGAGACTGTGAAGGAACTAAACTCCACGAGATCTATTATGGATGAGAAGGAGACATTAATATTAGAACTGCATTTGGAAGTGAATATACTTATATCTGAATGCAATGAAATGAAGAAGTTTTTGTTTGAGGATGAATCAGAGAAAGAAAATTTGAGAAAGCAGCTGTCCCGGCTGAAAGAGGATCTGAACAAGAAAGAGGATGCATTAAATAGTTTGGACAAAAAACTCACGGATTCTAATAGTCTAAAAGAGACAATAAAGTTGCTTGAGGTAATATTCACCTACACTTGATCTACCTAAATCTAGTTGTAAATCGTTGGAATTGATTTATTCATGTACTTTGTAGCATGATTGAGATTGTTTCCATCTACAAAGGTAACATTCATGTAAGAAATCCGTTGTGCATTTACTCTTGCTATCTCTATTCCTGCATAGGTGTTTTATAAAAATTGATCATTGATGAGTATGATCAATCTAAGTATTCGTTCCATCATCACAGGGTCAGATCAAGCTGAAGGAAAATGCACTTGATATTGCAAAGGATTCATTTATGGAGAAGGAGAAGGATCTTCAAGACAAAATCGAAGAGTTAGAAAGAAGATTAGAAGAACTCCAACAGAGCACAGAAAGGCTCTGCGAACAGAAGTCCCTAAAGGTGAGCAGCAAGAACCTTATCGTGTACACTTGCATTGTCACAATAATTATTATAATTCGCTTCACTAAACATCAGACATAAGACCGCAACAATGATGTTTGAACTAGTCATGATTGAAATAGCTAGGTCAGGTCTGAATCGACAATGATACAATTTTCACACTGTGTAACTCTTATTAAAGTGCATATGACTGATGGTACATTGACACAGGTGGCGATGGAAGATCTAAATCGCACAATTACAACAGGCACGGAAAATGAAAATCCCCCTCAAACGTTGTCTACAGAGAGGTATGAGTCCTGCCCTGCATTCAAGATTGATTCTTATGCTGTTCAAATCTATGTTGCTTGAATCTTCAAAATGTCGTCGGGTGAGTGTCGGATCCCGCGACAACATCTTTGGAGAGTTCGACCTATATAGGATCAAATAACTTTTGACAAAGATGAGTTTATATTATTAAAATCATTCCATATCACTATTGAGTCACTTGAACAAGGATAACTTTACACTATTTGAGTGTTGGTCCATTTTTGACATGCATAATACATAGATAGATACTGGTGGTTAAACTCTCCAACTTTGAATATACACATCTAGACACCTCAACTCATCTCCACTGTGTCACTTGAACACTCCAACTTACAAAGTGATCATCTAGACATCTCCAAAATTTATGTGTCACGTCAGCATCAGATGTCCATGAGACAAAGTGAGGACGAGTTGGAGTGGGTTAGTTGTCAGTTGTAACCAAGTTGAGGTTCTTTGATGTGCACTCTCAAATTTGGAGTGCTTATTTGCCAGCTAAGGACATGTATTATGCCTTTTTGACTATACATACACATCTCGTGAATAAACTGTCGAAGACTAATGTCTCCACAATAATTGTCTCTCTTCTACATTCCTAATTGGCAATGCATATACCAATGCAGCAACAACAGCTGTTGTTCGGACGAGGAAATGGAAAGCACAGCATCCAATACCAGAAATCTCGAAGAACTATCAAATGAAACGGAACTACTGAAGGAGAGGAACAAGTTCATGGAAGTTGAATTGAAGGAAATGCAAGGTAGATATTCAGAAATAAGCCTTAAATTTGCAGAGGTAGAAGGAGAAAGACAGAAGCTTGCGATGAAACTGAGAAACATCAAGAGCACAAAAAAAGAGCTCGTAAAATAGATTTAAATTGAAATAAATGTAAATTGCTGAGGGATTATTTATTTATTTTGGCATATTCTTTATTTATTTTTTCCTTGCATAGAGTTACACCATCAGATAAAATACAAAAAAAATGAGTAGTTTTAGCATATAGTTTACAATTCCTTTGAGAAATAAGATGCTGTGTAAGAGCATTTCAAGTTGTTTTTTTTGTAGGTAATGACTAGTGGTATTTTATACCTATGAATTTTATTTTTTACTAGAAAATTACATTTGTATATATACGGTAATATTTTTATTTATTTATAAGTTATAAATATTGAATCCTTTGATGTCCGCACGATCAGGGCGGAGCAGGCTTTTTAGCTATGAGTTCGGCAGAATCTAGTAGCTGTGATTTGAATTATGTGTATGTGTTAAAAAAATTCATTTGGTATGTATAAATTCAAAATTTAGTAAATAAAAAAAAAAGTGTGATCAAATACTCATAAACTAAAAATTCTGACTCCACTAATCTAATAATCATATGCATAACTCACCTGTGACAAAGTCATACAGCTTTACCATACTCGAGAGGTTTCGATTCTTTCGTTCCTAGTCAAAAAAATTGAATTCGAGTTTTAAAATGATTTTTTCTTGATAAAATATTTTTTAACTCATAGTGAATCTATTCGATGTAAATTCAGATTAATTGGTCAATAAATGAATGGCTAACCAAAAAAACAATTGGTTCCATAAAACATCCAAAAGATCTATTGTATATATATTTGATAAATTTCTTAAAATAAATATATCGTTTAAGGAAATTATTGAATTTAATTAATTCACCTACTAATAGTGTAAAGATGTATGTTATATGTATAGTAAATACTTATTAATATTAAAATGTTTATTACACCATTTCATGTTGCTACATTTCCAAGCTAAATATTCTTATATATTTGATGAATTTTTAAATATAAATACATGGTCTATAAAAAAGTTATTAGGTTCATGTAGCCATTATCATGACACTAGATCCGACCCTAAATACAACATTACCTAAACAAAAGAAAAATAATATTTACGCTACCAAATTGCTTAAAGAATAGAAAAAATAACTTAAATAATTGTTCACTCTCGATCAACTGCTTAAATTAAAAATAGACAACAATATATATATATTAAAACATTTCAAAAGAATATAAACAAATTAAATCAGCGGGGCCCCATTCCCTACCTCTCAAGTGTTTTTTTTTTTTCTTTTTTTTTTTGTATTTATATCAATATTTTTGTTTAATTTGCTTATTTTATTCTCTCCTTTTGGAGAATCCAACAAAACAGTAATTGCCACCTTTCGAGTGCACATTGGGTGAACTTACTAGTAAGTTGTAAAGTGCATGGTCAAGCCTGACGTGACGAGCTCAACTGAAAAGGCATTGATTGGAAGAATCGATCTCTGACTTTTCCCTAATGAGATATCGTATATTGTATCAACTCAATCACCTTTACAGATTGTTTGCTTATATATATATATATATATATATATATATATATATTAAAAAAATACAATAATATCATTTAACGCAAGATAAATTCATCTCTACGAATCAAATTATATCACATAAATTGAACACGAGCTCTGATCGTGAGAAGCTTGAACACGATAGGGTCGCTATTGTTGAGCCCATCAGTTTGTATTCATGCTAATATTTTCAACGTGGTCTGTTTCCAAAAATAGTAGAACTCCAATCAATCAATTCATTACGTGAATTTAAATTAGTCGGCCAGTATATTCAAAGTATATATTTGATGATTGAATTTGATAAGATCACTCTGGTTTTAATTAGAAGTTTTAAATTCAAAGCTCTTAAATTAATAAAAACTCCTTATGGAAGTGTACATTTTCCCTTTTAGTGGGACATACATAATACGAATTTGAATTAGTGGACCAACACAGTCTGATAATTAGAAAAACATTAACATTTTATGAATAAAGTGCTTGCCTTTTCATTCTACACAAGTATAAACGAGTTCAAAATTTAAATTCAATGTGTTAATACTTAAAATACTTAGCATAGAAGTTATTTTAAATTTGATATTTTGAGTTTAAAATTTAATCTTTAGTTAAAATTTAGTGATATTTCATAAATGATATTTTGTAATAAAAATGCTTAATTAAGTTGAACTCATAATCGATTAACTTTATCTGCCTCTATTAATGCATATCCTAGCTCAAAAAAACATATAATAACTAGATATATATGTTTTTTTGGGATTTGCATATATAGTGTCAGCTATCAATTATTGTAGTTTATTTTTCTTCTTATATCTATGTTTTGACTCGTTTTGTTTTTGGTTTTCCATCCGGTGTCTGGAATATTGGAGCTCCAACTAAATTTGGATCGTGCACTGCAAAATCCATTCGGGGGTGGAGTTCCCAACAAGATTTTCTCCATACCCAAGACTCAAACCTGAGACCTCTGATTAAGGTGAAGCACTCCCACCAGTGCACCATAATCCATGTTGGTATGTTTTGACTTGTTTGAATATAAAAAAAAACAATAAAGTAAATGACAAAGAGGATGACTTGGAAAGTGTTTTAAGAAGGTGATTGAAGATACTTTTTGGAGCATATAATTATTTAATTAAAAACAATCAAGTATATAAAATTCTGCCTAATTAAAGTAAATGTACAATTAAAGGTTATGGTAAAATAAAAAAATATCTTGATCTTCAATTTAAAGATCTTGAGTTTGAACTTCAGAAATAAATAAAGTGAATGGATTAAGAAAAGATACAAAGCTTGTAAATAAAGAAATTTTAAAAAATCAAACAAATAAAAAGATGTGTATTGTACTTTATTTACAAAATTTTAAGGCCTAAACGATGTTGTTATTAGGAGATTCTTCAATCTCGCAAGTTAGGAAAATCACCCTACATCACTCTACTTCACTTCTATATTTCATGTGTATAACTTTGAATAACTCATTAATTATATATAAAGAGAAATAAAATTAGATACACGACATATTGAAACTGATATAAATCTTGAAATACTATAGTGCTATTTATCAATCCCTTTGGGATGTCGATAAAATTAAAATAATATTGTAGAAAAACTAGTATGTTATTGTCATCAACATATTTGTTCATAATTTGCGATGAATCAATCCACATACTATTACAAAAGCCACAATTAGTGCGTGATTTATATTGGGTTCCACTTCTAAAGTTAACACATCTTCACCATACCCAAATCCTCTTGATGATTGCTTTTGTTTTACCTATAAATTCACCATAAAAATGTTTGAATATTATAAAAAAACAATAAAGTAAATGCCAAAGAGGATGACTTGGAAAGTGTTTTAAGAAGGTGATTGAAGATACTTTTTGGAGTATATAATTATTTAATTAAAAACAATCAAGTATCTAAAATTCTGCCTAATTAAAGTAAATGGACAATTCAAGATTGTGGTAAAATAAAAAATATCTTCATCTTCCATTTAAAGATCTTGAGTTTGAACTTCAGAAATAAAGTGAATGGATTAAAAAAGGGAAAATTGTATAAAATAGCAAATTATTAATTCAAATTAAATCATATAACCACAATTTTATTTAATTGTAACTCGTAGCAAACTGTTGTCATTTGCCACTCTCCCTGAATTTCTCGTTCGCCACTCTCGTTTTCTCGTTGGGCAGTTTTTCCCTCGCCTGTCTCATTTTATACAAACGCAAATGTATAAAATGTGTTTATGTTTGTATAAAGTGAGAGAAAATTGAATATATACATATCTTTTCGTTCACCTCTTTCCCCAGAGAATCTCGCTCGCCACTCTCCCAGATCTCGATGGCCCCTCTCACTTTATACAAACACAAATATATAAATTGTGTTTGTATTTGTATAAAGTGAGAGAAAATTGTATATACAAATACATATATATTCGTCCTATACACTTATAATTATACAAATACATATATTTTCATGCCCAGTTTTCTTTTGCATTTCTCTCTTTCTCGCTTTATATAAACACATATTATACAATTGATTCTTTTGTATTTGTATACCGAAACAAATTATACAATTGCTTCTTTTGTATATGTATACCGAAATATACATATTAATATCCATAACAAACATGCGCAATAATACAAACTATAGTTATAGCATAAAAATAGCTAAACCTAAAATTTACTCATTAAAAAAAAATACAAAAGCTACTTTGTAAATAAAGAAAACTTTAAAAAATCAAACAAATAAAAAGATGTGTATTGTACTTTATTTACAAAATTGTACGGCCTAAACGACATTGTTATAAGGAAATTCTACAATCTCGTATAAGTTAGGAAAATCACCCTACATCACTTGTATATTTCATGTGTACAACTTTGAATATCTCATTAATTGAATCTTGAAATACTATAGTATTATTTGTCAGTCCTTTTGGGATGTTGATAAAATTGAAATAATATTATAAAAAAACTAGCATGATTTTTGTGCAAGTATGATACGAACAAATCAAGAAATTTTATAGGAATTTGTTGTGGGGTTAGTATGTTATTGTCATCAACATAATGTTACAATATTTGTTCATAATTTGCCATGAATCAATCCACATACTATTACAAAAGCCACAATTAGTGAGTGATCTATATTGGGTTCCACTTCTAAAGTTAACACATCTTCACCATACCCAAATCCTCTTGATGATTGCTTTTGTTTTACCTATAAATTCACCATAAAAATGTTTTAGAACATAAAAACTAATTATCTAAAAGAGTTTAACTTCTATATATTAAATAAACAAATTTTAATATTATCAGGACATTTAAAAGATAATTATCACCTCTTAAGCTTATTTTTGAAATTGAGTTAGATTCAGTGTCTAGTCATCAATTTCAATTCATATTTTACCCCCACATTGGGCACCCCTTCATATATTGTTCACAGACGTGTCGGGAGGCTAAAGGTGTATTCCGTACACAACAACTATGAAAAGGAAAATGTAATTTCTTATATATGTTCATTTCCTTATCATGATATATCAAAGCCAAGCTCATCGGTTCTTAGTTTACGTATCCAATATTAGACTTCATATAATATTATTCACGCTCTACCCTCTAATTAGAAAGTCACAATCGTGTTGGATGGTGCAACTGGACTTTTTACGTAGTTTTACACAATTTTTATCTCTTAAGCTAATTTTATTTAAACTTGTGTTAGGTCTATATTTTTTTTTCACCATATATATATACTGACAGTACAAAAATTATTTAATAACACACTGACCTCTGCAACAACTTGGCCAGTAGAATTTGTAACTTTATATGATGAATTTCTATCAAATTGTTGAATCTTGTAGCAATTTATTCCTACATTATTTTCATCACATGACCCAAAATTACAAATGATATTTTCTCTTGAAAAAATATCACAATTCCTTTTTACTTGAAATAATGGTCTCCCTTTTATTTCACCACATGATCCATATCCATTCCAACGACCAAAAACTCTTAGTTTCTGAAAAAAAAAATAACAATATTATTAAAAATTAATAGTAATAATATTAACAAATCAATATAATATTTCAATGAAATTTTCGAGTATTAAAAATTGATAATAATATCTAATTGTTGACTAAAACATTAATGTTGAGAAGTTAAAGATTAAGGTAATTGTGAAGGAAAATGACAAACCTCCACTTAATTAAAAGTGAGGTTTTCTTCCTTTGAAAAATGTTTTCCAACCATAAAAACACTATCAGAAAATTGCTAATTTTAATGGAAATTAATCCGTTGATATTGGCTTGTTGACAACTTTTTCAACAAAAATGCCTTACCGACAAGTCAAATTCTAACGAAAAATTTCTAAAAAAATTAACGATTTTCTGGTAGCGTGATACAAGAACACACCCCTAAATAGACACTAGTGTCAAAGGTTGTATATATAACATGTGAGTTCGATAGAATCCCATATTCAATTACTATCACTTGAGATCGTATCCTAGAATTCAGAATTCATAAAGTTCAAATCCTGACTCCGCTTCTGATAGATATATAACAACAATATTTTTATAATTAATTACCTCTCTTTTAATTGAGAAGTGAACTTGGCCTTTGAGATCCATGATACAAACTTCATCTCTACAACTTTCTTGGTAATTATCAACTCTAAAAACAATTTCACCTTTGGAATTAAAAACAGTACATCCATTTCCATGGAAAACTAAAGATTTCATCCATATAGTAAATGTTTCTCTTGTAGATTTAATATAAGGCGATGACGACGACGACGATGATGAAGGAGAAGATTGTTGTAACATTAATTCTGGACATATTTTAGCCATAATTAATTGAATTAGGAGCTTGAAGGAAGAAGAAGATGTAAAATTAAAGAATTAAAAGAATAAATGATATAGTAGATATTGAAAGGGCTTATATAAAGTGTATAACATATATATATTTTGAAGTCACACACTTGAAAATAGCTGAATAACATTGACTTGGAATATGTCTATGTGTAACTTTGACAAGGATTTAGTTTCTTTCTGGTTTAGTCGTGGAGTCAAAAAAATTTTACGAAACTTATATACGTGTATATTTTTCTTTACGTTAGGATATATATAATTTATATAGGATGTATGTAGACCTTATTCTTATCTTTATAGAGAGGTTGTTGTCGACGGGCTCAAAAGAAATGTTTTCGAAGTAGAATTGCAAGCTCAATATGCTAAAAGAATAAGAAAATACAAAGCAAATGAGGTAACATGTAGATAAAGTAATAATTATAAATATGATAAAACAAAAAAATGTTTGTCTTGTTTATTTTTTGTGTCTTTGTCCATTATATATATTACCCTACACATTGATGTTTTTCTAATAAGTTTGAAAGTGTCATGACTATAGGTAGAACCCACTCAAAAAATAATTATTTCTCCTCCTATTCAAGTATTTAATTATAACTTATTTTGTACTGGGGAAATTAATTAATTGTATTTGTATATATTAAATATAAACCAAAATTTTGACTGAATTTACATGACTTAGTCTTATACCAATTCTATTTTTAGGAGGAGTCAACATATTCGGTTATGTGTATGAATTAATTTTTAGTTAGTTTTCTAGATGAGATCAACAATAAAATAAAGTTAATAGGGTAAAATGGTAAAATTTTCTCTCGAACTATGCAAAATGAAACAAACTTACGTATCTTCTATTAATTATAGTTCGAGTCAAAAATATTGTTGTTACTAAAACGGACTAATTATGGTCTTATTTTCAAACAACGGAAGCTAATTAACATGGTGAATTAATTTTTAAAATTAAGGGTAAATTTGAACCTTTCGCATAGTTCAGGAGGCAAAATTTTGACCTTTCTTCTTAATTTGTTAGTATAGTTAAGATAACTATACTAACATGTTTTACGATTACAACTTGTTAGATAGTTGTTACGTATTATGTTATTGTATGTGTTGTTAGTTTAATATAACGTTGATTTTGATTGTCATTTAAATTTACTATATCATATCGTCAAATTCATCATTATATAACAACGAAAAAGTCTCATTTTATATGATGTGATCACATCTTTACCTTATTTTTTTCCTTCTCATTTAGTTTTCGCGTATTATCTAATAATTCTATTTATTTTTATTGTACTTTTTTAAAAAAACTCTCGTACCCTAATTTTTTTTATAAATTTATCTATGGTATTATATAATAATGAAAAATGATATATTCAACAAAACAATGCATACATACATTATAATACAATACAATATAAAATCAAACATTAATAATCTTTTAGTTAAAAACAAACAAGGCCAAAGTTAGAAACTCTTGCATACAAACAAAATAAAAAAAGAAAGATCACTTTTTTTCCACTTGGACAAAACTAATTAAATACAAAAGAATTTAGCACTTTTATCCACTTGGGACATAATTATAACTAATTAGTCGTTTTATTAATAATTGATTACATCATTTGCTTGCTAATCACTTAATTAGTTACTATTAAACTGACAGTGACTAACTACGCACTTTTTCCATCCAATTTCCTTCATTTGGAAAAATAAGGTCAATTTTAAAATTTATGTACCCTTTGAGAACTTCAAACGTCAATGAAAAATTGAGTTTATGTTCGTTATACCGTGTAAAAAATATTTATACAATCGCATCATTTATAACGTAATTAGTAAAAAAAAGTTATAAATACCGATTGATATATATAGTGTGATTAGCACCAATCACGACCATTTGCGTTTACACATAAAAATGTAAAATTTAGAATCATTAAACTTCAAGAATTTGCTTCGAATAAAAATAAGATTAGAAGTGTTTATTTCGATTCACACGTAAAGATGATTGGATAGTAAAAGTCAAGATATATGAAAAAAATATATATGTTGGGATAATTATATATATTTAAATATGTAGTACAAGTTGATTCATGCATATATATTTATTTTTTAAAATATGACTTTTTTTAGGTCTTTTCCAGATTTTCAGTATGAAAAGTTAGGTACAGAATTTATAAATTCAAATTAGGCTACTACTTCAAGAAAAAAAACTATTCTTACATGCATATAAATGCCGCCTTGAAGAAATTAACATGCAACTATATGATAATTAGGTTGTCGTTTTGCAAAATTGTTTTGTATGTATATATATTTGTCTATATATATACACGTGTGCGCAACTCTAACTTGTTAAGCATATGATCTTAGGTAGGAGATTTATGAAGGATACGAACTGGGGTAGAAGATTAGTAGATACTTGAATGTTGTATCGTTCCATACTAGCTATAGCACATGAGCGGAGCCACTTCAGGCAAATAGTGGTCCAACACACACATCTTTTGCGGAAAATTATGTGGTGTATGAAGGTTGAATAGTAGGTTTGAGTGTTGTGATCTCGTTTAGCCTTCCATACTAGCACATATGGGCGAGGCGACCTTAGGCATAAAGAGTGGTCAAGTGCATATCTTTTACTGAAAAATTATGTTGTATATAAAGGTTAAATGTTAGATTTATGTATAAATATTTAATTTTGTACACCCTTAACACATTGAGAAAGGAAATTTACACACTTTTCACCAATTTCCTGGCTCCGCCACTAACTCGGATAGAATCCTTTCACCCTAATTAGATTATTGTGCACCGAATCAGATGTCTAGGATTTGATCCTTGCAAAAGAAATAACTTTTAATACTGGATCACATACGATAATAATTTAAATTAATCAAAATTTAAAAGTGAATATCATACCAATTCACTCCTGTCACGCTTTGTATTCATGAAAAGCCAACTTGAATGAACAAAGAAATGTTGAAATACTACAAATTAAGTACCTATCAAGTGACATTAACTTAGAAAGTAGGTATAATGATACACTATTTATATACCACAACAATTGGTGCACGAATATCTGATTATGACGTCGTCATTTAACTTATTCCTATTTTTTTTTTAAAAATTACACGTATATCCACTTTGAACAACTTAAAACATATTACAATATTTTGAAGTTAGCTTTAATGAAGTCAAATTTAAGACATATGACTAAAATTTAATTATTTTTATTTGAATTTCAGTCATAAATAGTAGTTCGATCATGTTTGTCTCACTTAGCCATTTTGTTTGAACTTCAGTCATATAATCGAAGCAATGCTCTCTTTTTTAACAACCATCAAGATTGATGGAGTCTTTTAGGGGTCGTTTGGTGTACGGGATGGTATAAGCATAGATATCCTATGAGACTATTTTATCCCAACTTTCATATGGGATACTAATCCCACAATTTTAATACAAATGGTGGAATAAAATAATCCCGAAATTATCCAATACCTCACACCAAACATGAGATAAAGTTAATCTCAAATTTTATATCAAGATTATTATACTTATTTCACGTACCAAACAACCCTTTACAACCTTAAATGTTGAGACATTATTTTTGATAACCAAGAAATTGCACAATTCAAAACTCAATGGATAACGAATCAACCCTGAGTAAAGCTTTTGTTTGTTGAAAGTTCGAACCTATGATGTGCGCCTAATTTGCTCACCACTAAACCAAAGCCCAAGGCATGTTGAAACACTAATTACTCCATCCGTTCCATATTAGTTGTCCACTTTCTCCTAACCAACGAATGGCAAGTGCTTTTCCTTGTGTGGATCCTATTTCAATGGGAACTTGATGAGTCGATCCACCTACACGTCTTGCTTTTACTGTTATATCGGGAGTTACTCCACGTATTGCTTGACGTAAAACGGATAGTGGATTTGTTTCTGTCTTTTGTTGAATCTTTTTCACGGCTCGATAGATAATTTGATAAGCCAATGATTTTTTTCCGTGTTTCAGAATACGGTTAACCAACATGTTAACTAATCGATTACGATAAATTGGATCGGATTTTGCTGTTTTTTTTTCTGCAGTACCTCGACGTGACATGAGCGTGAAAGGGGTTCAAGAATCAGTTTTCTTTTTATAAGGGCTAAAATCACTTATTTTGGCTTTTTTACCCCATATTGTAGGGTGGATCTCGAAAGATATGAAAGATCTCCCTCCAAGCCGTACATACGACTCGTTCGTCCCAAGGTTGACAGTATATACTAGGAATGAAACAAGAAGCACTGCAGAAACTCAATATCATTAAATATTTATAACCAAACTGTATCCCATATTACTGAGACCATCCATAAACAAGCCTCAAAACAAAATAATCTGTAAAGTAGGATTTGGTAACATTGATCTTCAGGGCATCCAACTATATAATGGACTAGTATAGAAAACCCAGATCGCTCGTACAAAAATGTGAACTCATAAGAGTGGTCTTTTCGAAAAATTCAAACTAATGCTTAGCGCGAGAATAATGATTGTCGTTAGGATTCCTCTTCCCGCTGAAAACAGCTAGTGCCTTGCGAACAGGGGGCTGCAGAGGAGCCTTCTTACTAGTATGGTTGAGAAAAATAGTGTCCGGAGTAAATATGTTGTCATCCCCCTACAGAGAACAAACAAATCAACTCAACTTCTCATGCAGCGCGAAAATGTAAACTTATAATGTTCATCATATTACTTGAAAATAAAAAAAGAAAAAAAGGAACATCTTTGCTGAAACCAACCTTGTTCTTCTTCTTTGTTTTAGGATAAAGATACTTCTGCGGAAGCTGGTCCTCGCGTAATACTGGGTTCTTGGTAACAGCACCTCTACCCCCTTGAGGTAAAGGCAGGGAGAACTGCAAAGGGAGCAATCAGCAAAAACGTTTTACATTCTAGCTACGTTGCTCAGACTGAGTTCAAAAATATTGTCTGAGTGTGCGCCAGATCCCCCAAAAAGCTATGCATTTTTGGAGGATCCCACACGGATTTGACAACATTTTTGAAGTGTCCAAGCATGAAATTGGACTGAATAGAGGATTTCAAGCATTGGTTACAGCGTCTGATAAGACTCTAAAACGATTGCTAAGCATGGTACACATTTGAGGTCCCCTCCACGTGTGTTATGTGCAGGGTGTAACTGACACAAACTCACTAACTAAAATTTAGAGAGAACTTTCATGGTT